AGGCAAACACAAACAGTAACAGATGGAACCTGGACCTACCCAAGCAACCACGAATGCCTGAAACGGTAACACACTGCTGATAGAAGAATATTTCCTCAGTTTGTAGCCCCTTTTAAAAAACAACTTTAAAAACAGCAATTGATTAGACACAGAAGTGAGATGCACGACAAAGAGAACAAAAGATCTGGTGGGTAAGCAGTGAAAAATCAGTCATTAGATGTCTACATTACGTATGAAATGGTACTGTGAGAAGGCTGTGCTGAGCTAAAGCTATAAACCCCACAGTGACCACTAGGACACAAAACAGAATTCACACTAATAATGAGCAGTGGGATACCAGGTGATGTCATCCTCTCATGGTGGAGACAGAGGCTAAGGCTCACCCTCACAGTGAACTGTGACAATAGTATGTATGGCAAGGCAGGATGAAAATGTTGGCTTCTCCCTCGGGTATAGACCTGCAGCTTGACTTACTAAATCTAAAAATACCACAGCTATCCTAACTGCCTTCCAAAACAATAGCCAGTTATATTAAGAAGAATGAGCATTCCTAACAATGACTAAGACACTTGCTTTCTGATAGTTTCTGGCTTTTTACATTTTATTCCTAAGTCAGTCCATTCTTCCATTGTACAAGATACATTTCGTTCTTGCCTCCAAAAGGTTCTCTTTCCCAGCACTACTGGTCAGGCCAGTCTTTGTTTAAGGGTGAATCTGTTGTCCACTGGATGCTAGCAGTACCTACCCAACTGTGAAAATCAACTCTCCAAAAGTCACCACTCGTACCTGGTAGAGCAAAGCTAACTTTAGCACGAACTTGGTACTCGGTATTACAATTAAATGCACACAAGTCTATGCCGTGGGTTAACTTGAAGTACCAGCAACATTCAACTGCCATTCCCGAAGTGTCTAAGTAACGGTGGCTAAGACACAACAGCAGAAAACCTTGCACTCAAGAGTTCACTTACAATCAAGGCCCGGCTTGGTTATCTCTCCACATCCCTCAAAGGCCTTACCAAAAACAAAACCTTTATGTACTGAACTGAACAAACTGTAAGGTGAAATTTCAAGCACATGAGATTGAGGGACATGTGCTAACAAGTGACATCATCCAGTAAAGAGCAGGGTCACCTAGGCAAGAACTGTCTGAAGTTAACTCATATTTGTTTTCTTAAACAGCCATAGAAAAATGTCACTGGTCTTTCAACCACATTCCATGTTTGGCCTCTCTTCCAAAGTATGTCTGAGCCCAGCCAGTCATTGGTATTTCAAGTATCAGCATGGGCCTTATTGACAGATACTAAGTATGAACTGTTTGCTAATGATTTCAAAATCCCTCTACAGCAACTGTAAATACAACTTCAAAAAGAAATACACAAACTAAAACCTTAAACATTATTGTCAATGTGACCATACTGTCAGGACCATAAAGTCATGTTCTTAATATTATACATAACCCTCTCAAGATTATTTCTACACAAAAGCATGTTAGATTTTAACCTGGAGAACATACTGTCATGACCATAAAGTCATGTTCTTAGTGTTATGCATAACCCTCTACAAGATTATTTCTAAACAAAAGCATGTTAGAATTTTAACCTGGAGAACAAATTTCTCTTTATCAGGGCACCTGCAACTCCTAGACTCTTAACAGTATGTTACTGAAAAGCACTGATACAGTAAGACTCTGCCCCAGGCTGCCAGGAGCAAAAATATGTGAATAGATGTGTTCTGCAAAAGGTGTGGTGCTTGGCTAATAGAAACCCCATAAGCCTACACAGAGGCTATTCACTGATAGAATATAGAAGGAATAATTAAGAATAACGAGTGTGAAACAGGAAGTTAAGGTTTCCAGCTTAGAAAAGCAGAAGGGAGAGCCTTCACCAATTATGCAATAATCGGAACATGGTGCTTTACGTCAGTATGGTACTATCCACAAAGCAACTAATAACACAGGGTTAGTTAATATCAAACCTGGAAACATTACGCTAAGAGTTATCCATATATCCAGAGTTTAAAGCTCATCAAGAGAGTAGGAGAGAATATAAGATTAACCAAGAATCTAAAGGAATAATCACCATCAATGGTTCTAGGCTGGTAAAAAGGGGGAGAAGGGGGGAGCCACAACTGTGTGGAATCTAAAACACAGACTATTTCTTAAAAACCATTTTAAAAAATAATTCTAAATATGTTCTAAGACTGAGGAGGAAAATGATTACTCTCATCTCTGAACACTCCAGAAGCCCAATCCAGTCAGCAACAGACACTAGCCATCATACTTCTGCAACATATCTACCATTTGCCATCTAGAAAGAAATTAATAGGTTTACACACGTGAATCCACAATTCTCATATTATCATTATGCCCATCATCCAAAGTGTTAACCTGTCCAACCTTACAAACTAGCACAACGCCATCATACTTCTGCAACATATCTACCATTTGCCATCTAGAAAGAAATTAATAGGTTTACACACGTGAATCCACAATTCTCATATTATCATTATGCCCATCATCCAAAGTGTTAACCTGTCCAACCTTACAAACTAGCACAATCTGTCCTGAAAAAAGGACCACTGAATCTCTACCTAGCTGAGACCAAGTGCAATGCAGTGCTTGGGGAAGAACTCAACCTACTCCAGTACACCAAGGGACCTACCATTTCCTCCTGGTCTATAGGCCTTCCCTGTCTTAAAGACCTTGCTGTAGCAGTCTGAAAAGTTGGAAGTCCTAAAAACTACCAGGCACACCTATAGCTTCCCACCTACCCTCGTCTTCCTACCCAAACCCACAACCAACTTGACTGAAGTGGAAAACTGGTGACCATAACATTTACTTTCTATAGACATTTAGAACTGAGACTTGAAGAGGTCCGTTAGAAACCATGGTGCAAAGTCAAAGGTGGGTGTGCTGTGGACACTCTGGCAAACCAAGCCGTTTTAAGAGAAGGACCGTAAGTATTTAAACGGAATAGAACATGCAACTAGTAGTAAGCAGAGAACTAAGAGAAAACTCGGTGAGTTTCAACCTGAAGACTTTCTGGTCCCCAGGCCACTGAACTGGAATCACAAGCTGGGCCCTAGAGGCAATGCTCCAACAGTATGACAAGTGCCTTTTACAAGTAAGCTAATTCAAATGGCTTTTTGATTCTTGCAGCCAAATAGTCCTCAAGCCATTAAGGAAGGTCAAAGGAAAAATACCGAGTAAGCAGTGGCTAATACAAAATTGCTCAGTTTCCTCCTCCTGTCAAGTCCGTCAATAATCTATATATTCCAAATGCTTATCTCCAGGAAGTTCTTTTCAATTAATTTCTTTCTGTAAAGATGAGCAGAAAAAAGAAAATATATGGATCTGCCCCATTTGCTTTTAAAATTGTAAAGCACATTTCCCCCTGTGCCAACAGTACCAGTCTGGATACCCTCAACTAACACTCAAGCTAGTGTCCTAACCTGTCTCAACACTCTCTCAGAGTGCTTGAATTTTTTTTTTTTTTTTACTACTGGGGCCACTTCACAAAAAGAAAAACAAAAAACAGTTTACATAAGTAATTACTCCATCCAAAGTTACTCCAGTTGCTTTTCAAACACAAGACAAAGCAACCATTGCCCTAAAAATTTGAAACCCTGGCCACAAAGTTAGAAAGACTAGCAACAAATAGTTTTTCTCTTTGCCAAGATGAGTGGGAGAGAACTTTTGTTATCGCCTTTGCCCATTCAAAGTTTTTCAAATCTTTGTGTATGGCTAAAATTTCCCTACTTATAACTGGAAATTTCCCTTTAAACAACTGGCCACATTATGATTTGAATTGATGGAGTTCCTTTCCCAGACACTCAATCTTGGGAATTAAAATAAAATTTAAAAAAGTACCATCCTCTCTCCCAGAGGACTTCTGCTTCTAGACTTAGCCCTGGAATGCAGAGACTAGAAAAGGCTAGAAAATCTCATTGTAGTTCTGGGGCTTTGACTACAGTATATATATACAACAACTGAGAAAAACCACTGGCCATGGAGTATACTGCCAATTCCTTTTCGGATCAACTGAGCAGATCAGTTGAGCAGTATTGTAGCTATCTACATCAGTCACAGCTCAGCTTGTGAACCCACTTCTTCCCTAAGTCCCCAACATCCCTTTCTCTCTCCTAAGTCAGTTACTGACAGCAGAACTAATTGTTCAATTCTTGTTCAATTCACTGTCAACCTATGGTTCACAGTTCTTCCTGAAGAACACGTTAAGTATGAATAACCAGAATATTCCTTGAAAAGTGTTCATGTCTTTTGAAAGATTAGGTGGCACTATTTGAAATGACATCAGTCATAGCAGGCACTGGGCTGCCATTTAAAAAAAAAAAGCGTAGATATTTAAACAAAACCATCTTTGCATAAATAAATACTCTTCCATCTTTCCTGAATACTCTATGTTCTAAGTATTTTCATACGGAGCAAATTTGAGTACCAACATCAATAACACTGCTAACAAGGTGGGAAGACGGAAAGGAAGCAAGCGTTTTAGGAGCAAATGAATAATCACAAGGCTAGAAAGAACTGCGAATATTAATTCCAGTATGCGCCAAGGCCATTAACGATGTGTCTCAGCAGTATTGCTCACCACGAAATGCCTTAATTGCCTAAAGCCTAAGCCACCTCCAACGAATAGGTTTTTGGTTTTTTTTTTTTAAGAGGGTAGGCAGAGTGAACGGACTGTCACCAAGCCAGACCAGGGGGTTAGACTGTCACTGTGGCTTCTTAGCCAGACCATTTTCTATCTGATAACGCAGGTCGGTGGCTCGGCCAGCCTGGGGGCGACGTTGACAGCGCTACCAACAGCGGCACCCGGGCTCAGGCGCTGACAGGGAAGGATGCTGCTGCGGACCAAGTGCACCGTCCTCCTCCCGCCCGCGCCCCCACGCAGCGGCGAGGCCACAGCGCCCGCCCGGCCGGCCGGCCACCCGCCGTCCGTCGGGACCCGGCCCGCTGACTCCCCGCTCCCCGCCCCGCTCACCCGGAGGCGCAGCCGCTCAGCTCCCGGGCATGTCACCCGCCCGTCACGGCCCGCAACGCCCGGTGGCGCGAGCCGCAGCGCAGCGGCGCCTCCCTCGCCCGCCCCGGCCTGAGACGCCACCGCCGCCGCCGCCGCCGCCTCCCCACGCCGCCCACTCACTCTCGCGAGAGCGGTCGCACCTCTCGCGAGAACGAGCCCGTGGACGAGCCCGCGCAAAAGGAACAAGGCGGAGGTTGGGGGGTGGGAGGGGGTAAAAAGCCTCCCCACGTGCTCTGGAGGGCAAAGCGGCCGGGCGCCTCTCACGTGACACCGAGGCGCCCTTGCCATTGGCCAGCTGCCCCTCGGCCCGTGGGAGCTTTCAACGCGAAGCTGACCTACGAACTCTCCGCTGACGTCCTGCGCGCTTCCTGGTCCGTTGCCTTGGGAACGGCTTAACCCTTTCCTCCTGCAAAGCACCCTAGCCTGGCTCTCCTGCCTTGGACTGTCTGTCTGCCTTGGGCCGCCCCGCCTCCCCGGGGTTGGTTTCCCACAGCCGCAGCCCCCTAGATCGAGGGTCCACGCACGGTCCATCCTTCAGAATGGCCCTGCTCGGTGCCCAGCGTCTTCAGGGAAAAACCCACGTCATGCACCAGGCTCGGGCCCTAGCTGAACCAAGTCAGTCCAAGGGGAGCGCTCACCCCATGTGGCATCGAAATTGGGAAATAAGGCTTGGCTCACCAAGAAGCCCAGCCTCAGGTGACAAGCTATATGGGACTCCCGTTTAACTCGGAAGGACCAGTGCAATCAAGTTGCATGGTCTCCTCAAGGACATCCGTTCCTCAAAATGGCTGAGATGAGAAAGACATTTAGAAGTGTATCCTCCTCCTTTTTTATTTGTTTGGTCTTCTTCGGGCCAGAGGGATGAGAAAGAAAGAATGCATGCCTGTGTTCCTCTCTTCAACAGTTTTTGGCTGTTCCCCCAACACGTTGTAGGCATTATTCCAGGTGGTCTACTGAACGATGATGAAAACAAAATAGTCTAGGTTGTGGAGATCTGTGGGAGGAGGGGGAATGTCTGTAGGTGTGAAACAACACAAAGGATCGCAATCTGATGGTGGTTACAATTGAGCAACTACTTGGGGGAGGAAAGACTGATTCAAGCAGTGCTTTGGATAACGGCCCTACAAAAAACGGGAGAGAAGAGCGGCTTTGGCAGAAATAGGGCTACTTCACAGGCTGGAATCTAGCATCTCTGAATGCCAGGCAGTAACCCTGGGAAGATAATGGAGACTGGATTCCCTATAGCTTCATTCACCAGGCAAGGAACTGGGAACCTAGTCTACAGTGAAAAGCGTTGAACACTTACAAAAGGGGGAAATACCAACAATTAACTTTAAAAAAAAAATAGTAAGCGCTTCTCTGTAGCTAGTGAATTTTAAGGAAGTCAAAGCAGAAGCAGGAGGTTTTGTCCTGGTGAGAGACAATTGCGTAAGACTCAATTTCCAGTGACCTTGACCTTCTCCAAAACCTATTAAGTTGGAGTGCTGTCCCCTCCCATCTGTTAAAATATGTAGATTTCTCCTGCCTGAAAGGAATAAATGGAGGGGTTTGCTTTTTTGGTTTTTGGTTTTTGTTTGTTTGTTTGTTTGTTTTGGTTTGTTTTTCGTCTTTTTCTGTTTGGTTTTTGTTTTAACTACTTGAGAAAAAGGAATGGCCATGAAGGGCTCCCACCTTTGGTTACCTTCCCTCCATTTCCACCACACAGGTTCCTGCATCTTTAAGTTCTAAGCAAAATGGAATATAAAATAATGTTCCTTGTAGATATTTATTAGTGTAAGATTTGAAAAGATAGAGGTAGAGGCTGAAAAATAGAGTTTAATTAAAAGAAATCAGGAAGTCTTCCAGTGTGAAACCCTCCCAACCAACTATAGACATAACCAGATCAAGGCTCTTTATGATCCCAAGTTTCAACTTCCTGGTACATAAAACAAGGCAATTTGCTCTCCACGCAGGGTGGTTAAGGCAGAATTCCATCTTGGCATTCGTGGACTGGCAGAGGAAGCTGCAAAGGGAAATGAACTCTTAGGAAAGATGTAAGAGTCAGCAAGCAGCACAAGCCAAATGAAATTGGACCCTCACACCCCAACTGAGAAACTGTAACTGACTGAGACAGATACCAGGAATGCTTTCCTAAGAAATGCTGGGTGTGAAAGCGGAAGCACCGCCACCTGCTCAGCCTCATATTCCCTTTCTCTGGAGCCACTGTGAGTCTAGGTAGCCTCCAAAACATCCAATGCGCCTGATCAGAGTAAGAACTAAATGGCCAGTGGCATTCTAAAGGTCTGAGGCAACAGCTGAAAATTAACTCCTGAGTTTTAATACAACGATTTAAAGTTACTTTTTAGAAGGGGAAAATGTGTCAGAAATATTATTTTAACAAGACAATTTAAAAATTCCCCACTCCCTCAGATAAGGCCATTTTAAAGGCTAATTTAGAGTGCTTTTTGAAATGTTTGCAGCTCTCATAATGATTAATTGAAACAGCTGCATGGTGTTGCTAATTTAGATGAACAGAGGGCTCAACTCCAGCATCCTAACATATTAGCAGGACCATAAATCAGCCCGACTTACTCTAGCAGGCACGTGGTTGTGGTCCCTTGTGCTAGCTGTTTGGAGTGCTGTGGATGTAAAGTAAAAAGAAATTCAGTATCTCCTACAGTGTCCCTAGTTCTTAGATTCTTTCAAAACATCCTACGCGCGCGCAAGCGCACACGCACACGCACACGCGCACGCGCACACACACACACACACACACACACACACACACACACACACACACACACAGAGTTTTACTCCAATACAATTTACATGCCATGCAATTTCATGTTTTTTGTATATTCGCAGAACTGTGCAGCTATCACTGTAACCTAATTTTCAAAATAACTTTGTTCTCCCTTTAAAAAAAACAACCTGCCTATTAGCAACCAATAATCCCCTATCTCACCCTCAGCCCTAAGCAATCAATAATCTTTGTTTCTATAAACTTGCCTGACCTGGGTCCTTAATATTAATGAAATTAAATAGTATATGGCCTTTTATGTCTCGGTTTATCCTCTTAGTGCACTATTTTCAAGGGTCATCCATGGTGTGTCATGTATCAGTATTTCATTTTATTGACAGATGATGATTCTATTCTGTGTATATAGCATATTTTATTGATCATTTTATTAGTTGACATGTGGATCACTTTCACTTTGGGCTGTTATGAACAACAATGTGCGTTGAACATTTTAACCACACATTTTGTGACAAATGTTACTTCCCATTCTTAATTTTAAAAAATATGTAACATGCCAGATGGTGGTGGCACACGCCTTTAATCCCAGCACTCAGGAGGCAGAGGTAGATGGATCTATCTGAGTTAAAGGCCAGCCTGGCCTACAGAGCAAGTTCCAGGACAGGCTCCAAAACTACACAGAGAAACCCTGTCTCGAGATATATATATATATACATTGTAGGGCAGAAGAGATGTCTGAGCAGTTAGAGCACTGGCTGCTCTTCCAGAGGACCTAGGCTTGGTTCCCAGGACCCACATGACAGCTCACAACTATTCATGACTCCAGTTCCAGGGGACCCAATGCCCACTTCTGACCTCTGTAGGCACTGCATGCACCTGGTGCATCTACATGGATGCAGTGAAGACACATACATAACAAATAAATCTTTCTAGAATAAAAAAAAAACACGCCGGGCGGTGGTGGCGCACGCCTTTAATCCCAGCACTTGGGAGGCAGAGCCAGGCGGATCTCTGTGAGTTCGAGGCCAGCCTGGACTACCAAGTGAGTTCCAGGAAAGGCGCAAAGCTACACAGAGAAACCCTGTCTCGAAAAACCAAAAAACAAAAAAAAAACAAAAAAAAAAAAAAAAAAAAAAACACATAAATTTATCTAGTTACAAAGTCCTTACTTCCAGTCCAAGCATGCTTTCTTTGTTCCTATGGCTTTTCTTTTTTAGCCTACTCTGTTAAGCATGTTTAGTCTATTCACAGGAATATTTGTCCTCAGGCCGTTCACATCTGACCATGTCGTTCACCTGCTCACGATCCTCTGGTTCTCCCGATGGCCTGCCTTGATTCCTTTGCTCTTGAGTCATTCTCCCTTTCAGAGTCTCAAAACAGGACCAGGCTCTGCCTCAGACCCTTCCCTCAAACTCCACCTTCAACATCAGTATCTTTTTCTGTCTACCCCCTTCATCTATGACTGCCCAGCATCCGTGGACCTTCAGCTCCGCTGTCATTTCTGCGGGAACTCCTGCCCTGACTCCCTCCATGAAGTGCATTCCCCTTTATGGAGGACTCTGCCTTCTCTCTGAAGCAGTTGTCAGCACATAACAATCTTCACTTGTGTGACTACAGTTAACTAATGCCTGTCTCTTCCACTAGACCGAAGGATCCAAGCAGGAATCACATCTGTATTTCTTAGCAGTAACTGGCACACAGTAGGTACTCTAACTACTCACAGGAAGGAGGAAGGGATGAGGGGGGAGGGAAAAAAAGAGGTCTCTTCCATGACAGTTCTAGGTTCTATTTCTCTTGACCTAGAAGGACCCATTATTAAAGTCTGGGTAAAAATTACAATCTAAACGTATGCTGGGCTAAGGGCAACTAATGCCAAGGACTGCTGTAGGCTTGTTCTGGTGCAAAGAAGAATCCAAGTGTCCAACCCCACAGAAAAGGAGTGAGAAGGAGGCCAGTGTGCAAAAGGCCCAAGAAGCAGGCTGCCAAGTTACAGAACACACTCTGAGGGCACCTATGATAGCATCAGAGAAACCCTCTTCTGGCCATGGAAAATGTTTACCTCTTACTTTTATTTATTATAGCCCTGGGAATTGAACTGAGAGCCTCGGGAACACCAGGCAAGCAGTCTGAATGCTGGGCTATGTCCATCCCCAGCCCTGTTTTTACTTTCTATTCTAAGACAGAGTCCCACTAAATTAACCCCAAATGGCCTGGAACTCACTCTGTAGCCCAGGCAGACCCTGAACATGGCATCCTCAGGCCTCAGCCTGCTGAGTAGCTAAGATTGCAGTCCAGGCCTGGCTCCACAGGGATATTGTAGTAGACTAAGATTTCAGTAGTCAAATTGGTAGTGTCT